CTGCCTAAGGCTCTGGGAGGGAGTTTGGGTGGGGGGAGGAGGTCTGGGGTGCAGGTCCTGGGCTGGGGATCAGGGTGCAGGAGGGGTGCAGGGTGCAGCCTCTGGGATGGAGTTTCGGTGGGGAAGGGGGTCTGGGGTGCAGGCTCTGGGATGGAGTTTGGCTGCAGGGTGCAGGCTCCGGGCTGGGGCAGGGGGTGGGTGTGCAGGAGGGGGGGAGGGGTGCAGGCTCTGGGAGGGAGTTTGGGGTCTGGAAGGGGTGTGTGGGAAGGGGAGGGGGTGCATGCTCTGGGAGGGGGTTTGGGGATAGGAGGGGGTGCAGGGGTGAGGGCTCTGGGGCTGAGGATGAGGGGTTCATGATGCAGGAGGGGTTTCAGGGCTGGGGCAGAGGATTAGGGTGCGGGGGGATGAGGGCTCTGGCTCTGACTTGGGGATGAGGGGTTCACGATGCAGGAGGGGTCTCAGGGCTGGGGCAGAGGATTAGGGTGCGGGGGGATGAGGGCTCTGGCTCTGGCTTGCGGATGAGGGGTTCACAATGCAGGAGGGGTCTCAGGGCTGGGGCAGAGGATTAGGGTGCGGGGGGACGAGGGCTCTGGCTGGGCCTGGGGATGAGGGGTTTGGGGTGTGGGAGGGGGCTCAGGGCTTGGCCAGAGGGTTGAGGTGTGGGGTGAGGGCTGTGGGGCTGAGGATGAGGGGTTCATGATGCAGGAGGGGGCTCAGGGCTGGGGCAGAGGATTAGGGTGCGGGGGGATGGGGGTTCATGATGCAGGAGGGGGCTCAGGGCTGGGGCAGAGGATTAGGGTGCGGGGGGGATGAGGGGTTCATGATTCAGGAGGGGCTCAGGGCTGGGGCAGAGGATTAGGGTGCAGGGGGATTGGGGCTGGGGATGAGGGGTTTGGGGCATTGGAGAGGCTCAGGGCTAGGGCGGAAGGGCAGGGTAAGGGCAGCCTGCCCTGCCATTAGGGGATTGGGGGCACTAGGACCCTGGGGCAGCAGACAGCAGGCACACCGGCAGCACAAGCAGGCATGGGAGAGGCGCGCGCCGCTTTCCTCCAGGCAGGGACGCAGCGGGGTGGGGGGGAGACCTGTGGGGGGAGGGGTGGCAGGCGGGGGCCGGGGAAGAGACCCAGCTCCAGATATTTGTGGAGCAGCAGAGCCCCCAGCCCTGAATATTCCTGGAGCCTGGCTCCAGGGGAGGGGGGAGGGGCCGGCGGCTTGCTGCGCCGGGGAGAGTGGAGCCATTTGCCCACCCCTGCATTAGGGTGTGCCTGGGCACACCCGGCATACCCCGTGTGCACGCCTGTGATCCCTACCTCCAGGCTGGGGATTTAGACTTGCAGTCCCTCTGCAACTCACTGTGACATAATTTCCCCCGTCTGTCCAGCAGTTGTGGTTAAGTTTTCTCCAGGGGCTACAACAGTGTATACCAACCAGCCTTCACAAAGCAAAATACATTTATTGTTAGGACAAAAGCATTAAAGAGAAAACGTACAAAAAATACAATAAAAGTTTCTATACACATGTTAAAAGCTTATCAGAGGTCACCCATCAGCCTTATGGGGCCCAGGTAAGCCAAGGACCTTCCAACTTTTCTGCAAAGGTTGTTGGGGCCCTCCTTGGACAAAATGTCCTTTTCATTTTCTGAATCATAAAGAAGGTGCGGTGTCAGTTTAAACACAGCCTTTTTATACTAAAAGCCCTTTCTTTGTTTGTTGGTCTATGGAACACCCACCTTGACCATGTACATGCAAACCACACCAGAGGGAGATAACTCTCTAGAGTTGTTTACAGTTTCAGCAACTATCCTTAATCACCCCCACTATTTTTAGCTCCTGGAGGAGCAGTGGTAACCCTCCCCTGCTGCAGTTGCAAACAATCCCTGGCCCAAGGTGATACATTAAACCATTCATAAACTTAAGACAGTATGGTCCCCCAAAGATACTGCATATGGTTGCAGTATCTGTGAGAGTGACATCAAAGTGAGAGGAAAATACTTTACTTAAATATTTTATGCATTTTTCCTGTTTGGAAATATGTCAGGTATTTAAATACCATGGTGTTGGGTGCAGTAGAAATGGAAAGACAGAGCCAAGTGCTGTCCCAGCAGAGACATAAATAAAGTTATTAGAGAGACAAGGTGAGTGAGGTAATATCTTTTATTGAACCAACTTCTGTTGCTGAGAGAGGCAAGCTTTCAAGCTCACAGAGCTCTTTTTCAGCCCAGACCTCGAAAGCTGCTCTGTTTCACCATCAGAAGTTGGTCTAATAATAGATGTTATCTCATCCACCTTCTCTCTCTAATATCCTGGGGACAACCCAGCTACAACAACACTGCATAAAGAAAGATAGGTAACTAGCTCAGCTCTTTGCTAACACAGCTAGTATTACGCGTGGAAGGTTGTAAAGGTACTTCCTGTAGAAAGCCTTATATTGTTGATTTGATTCTAGCTTGAAGGAGAATTGAGGTTTTTTTGCATTCAGATCCTGGTAACAGATACAATAACAGGAACAATATAAGAACCTGAACAGAATAGTTAGAAACATATAGAAAATTACATGAGCATGCATCCTCCACGGACAGGGCCGGCTCTAGGATTTTTGCCGCCCAAAGCAAAAACAATTTTGGCTGCCCCCCCCCCCCGTTTTTTAATTACCCCACCCCCGGCCCCGCCTCAACTCCGCCCCTTCTCCAAATCCCCAGCCCTGCCTCCTCCCCCCAGGCTCTCAAGCCTGGGAGGGAGGGGGAGCAGCGGCGCGCGAAACAGTAGTTTCGCACGCCGCGGCTGCTCGGGATCTCCCCCTCCCTCCCAGGTTTGAGAGCCTGGGAGGGAGGGGGAGCAGCGGCGCGTGAAACAGTAGTTTCGCACGCCGCGGCCGCTCGGGATCTCCCCCTCCCTCCCAGGCAGCAGCAGCGGAGGTGAGCTAGGGCGGCCGGGGCACATCGTTAGGGGCGGCATTCTGGCGCCGGCCATGCTGCCCCTAAAAATGTGCTGCCCCAAGCACCAGCTTGTTTTGCTGGTGCCTAGAGCCGGCCCTGTCCACGGAGAGGCCCCAGGGAAGATTCTAGCTAGTTCTACAGTGAAGCAGAGAGAAAATTTAGGAATAAAATTGCCTTCATTACTCTCATAAAGTTTCTTCTTTGGTATAAGAAGACAGTGGTTGTTTCTGTAATTCAGCCTGTGATCATGAATAGATGACAAAGTTGTAAAAAAAGCCTGACCCCTGTCTATGCTATCATTGTAGTCAATGGAATTTCTCCAGAATTTCTCACTGGTGTAAATGAGATCAGAATCTGGCCCAGTGTGTGCATGTTGAGCTATAAACATGTGGACACTCCAGTTACCCTATTACCACCTCTGTCATATACTAGCCAGGTTAGTGTTTACATTTTTATGAACGTACCATCTTCTATCTAGACATAGTAACATGGTATCCAGTACTTGCACTTATCTAATTTCCTTTGGTATTGACATCAGACACTGTCTCTAGACTTACACTGCATTTCCCATGAGATCATAGTAACAGTATTAACTCATTTCAAGGGAATAAGGGAAGTTTAACACTGTGTAAAAGCATATATGAAGAGAAATAGCGGAAGCACGGGTTCAGTAGCTACTTGACAGCAATTTGTAAATGGGTCAAAAGTTTTTATTCAAAGCATCGAATGAGGTCAGCCCACTTTAAAGACCAACCCCCTGCAATTTCATTATTTTAAAAACAAGGGGCCCAATTCACAGTTGTTATACACCTTTAGTCATTTACATCAGAGCAAAGTGGATGTAAAATGCTACCAGATCCAAACAGTAGCATTTTAAACCCAATTTGCACCAGTGTAAAATATTGTATATGGTATAGGCAATGGTGAATCAGGTCCAAAGATTGCTTTTGCCTGGAGCTTGGCAAAAGGACATTTGAAACTGACTCTATTCAAAACCACTATTGTTTTCCCATTCTGTTCTTCAGAAGGATGCTCCCATTCTATTGGAGCTCCTGAATTTCTTTTTCTTTACTGTTGTTAGGGTTTCTGAAAGCCTACCTCCTGTATATAATACCTTGAGGTATCTATTGATCCATGAGATCATCAAAATATGTTGTATAGTATTTCCCTTCCTTTAAGGAAGGTAATTTTGAGGGAATTGAAAAGTTGTTATATTTGATACATTTGCTTTAAAACTGACTTATTAAAATCATTTTTGGAAAGAAGAATCAGAATCTGTGTTTTTAGCATGTATCAATTTTCTGCCTAGAAGGTTTTGTAACTGACAAGGTATCAATGCCTAACACATATTAAATAAAATATAAAACATAGAGTCAGCCTTAACTACAGCAGTGCCATGTTAAGGGAAGACTTCTCTTTTCTCTCACATTAGAGCGATACTTAAGGGCCTCACAAAACTTCCTCTGACTTCAGTGGAAGCAAGACTGGGCTTGTAATCTCTACAGTTAAAGAAAAATTATGCCCCTTTTCCTCAGATGGAAAGTCAAAAAGTTTGAGAGGTAAGAAGCCCATGTCTTTACAAATTAAGTGTAAGGTGTATTTTAAGGGTGACCTCCTGGCCCTATTTAATGCATTGTGACTTTTGCCACTGACTGCAATGGGGCCAGCATTTTACCCTAAAGGTAAAATTACTCCAAGTGTTACAAATGTCAATACAGCCATGTGTATTATTTCTACTGAGGAAAGGACGTTTATTTAATATTTATCCCTATTTAGGAGAATATTTATTATTTTTCTTTCAAAAACTCTCCTATTCACCTTGCTGCCATCTTTCAAATCTGTCTTAGAAACCTACCTCTTTCTGTCGTCTTTGCACCATTATCCATTATCAGTTGCTATAGAGCCTCGCACTGACATCCTCTCATTTAGCTCATGCTACAGTAAAGCTGTAACTAACAAGACTCAGGCCAGACCTTCTGCTCAGAACAAAAATGCATCAACTAAAATATTTTGTAAATATTTATAGCAAAAACGCTCTTTTCCTTCTCTTTCTTTCATGTTTAAGAAAATTGGCTCTGAAATATCATCCTGACAAGAATCCTGACAATCCAGAGGCTGCTGAAAAATTTAAAGAGATCAACAATGCTCATGCAATACTGACTGACCTGTCCAAGAGAAACATATACGATAAGTATGGATCATTAGGGCTATATGTGGCGGAACAATTTGGAGAAGAAAATGTTAATGCATACTTCATGCTTTCAAGCTGGTGGGCAAAGGTGAGTGGGTAAAATAAAATCCTCTATTCTCTTTTTAAAAATGTACTGAGCAAGCTAGGAAATCATGCAGTCTTCTACCCTAGTTTGGCCCTGGTTCTGCAAAGTGTTCCATGTGAGTGGACCTTTACACTCATGTGGAGTCCCATGGGAGTTCATGGGGCTCTGCATGGGACTAGGAGTCCCCCGATGCAAAACAATTTTGAGGATCAGGGCCTTAAGTCATAGCAACTTCATTAAACAATGGCATGTATTGAATGATTAGAAACTGGCAAAAATATAATTAAGCACCTCTCCAGAAAAGTGCTAATGAAGGATTTTTCCTTTAATTTACTAAATAATTAAATACACTTCATGTCTGGTAACACTTAGAGGCATAAATTATATTTGAAACTGGAGCTCCAGGTTAATTTTGATTTTCTTTTCAGTAATGACTAAATAAAAATGACTCATTGCTCAAAAATGAGAAGTCCTACTTGTGTGACAACCAGCTAATAAGTTACCGTACAAATTTAGCCATGTTCTTTGCTATATATAGCACACAGCATACGTAAGCAATAATAATACATAACACAGTGTGTGATTATGGTGTCATATATGTGCACCTTGGGTACATTGTGAGGGGGCAGGGGAAAGGAAGTGGAAGAAGAGGTGAGAACTGCGGAGTGGAGGAAGAAAGTAGGAAAGGGAGAGCATGATACCTCAAGTCAGCAAATTGAACGAGGAAAACCCCCTGGTGGGGATTCTGATGACATAAGAGCTCGGTTCATTTGGTTTATTATGTAACTGTAATCCTTTGCTATTTATGTATATATTGCAAACCCTAGCATTGCAATCAGTGTGTCAGTGAATGTAACAAGCCTATGACATCACAAATGTGGAAAATCCCACACTTTGGATTTTATTCTTACTGCTATTTCCAGCAACAAAATGTTGGGGCAGCAAAGAGTCCATTGGAATAAATAGAAAAATTATCTTTATGTGAACCAAATACACTGTGATGACAGGAGAAATGACAGATCTGATTTAGGAACATGGGAATCTCCATCCTGGATCAGACCAGTGGTCCATCTAGCTCAGTATCCTGTCTCGAACAGTGGTCAGTGCAAGGTCAGTTCCATGTGTCTGGGAAAGCATACTTTATATACTACTTCAGGTGGGAATAGAAGCAGCTCAAATACAAATTAATGGACTACATTTTCAAAACTGGGCAGCTAAATCATAGTGGCAAAATTTGTATCCACACCAGCAAAAACTGAAGATGGACCTGAACCACATCTCCATTCTGAACTCCCAACACTTTACAGCTGGCTCCTATTTCTCTGGCAGCAAATTTGCACCGGCTGTGGCTGCTGACTCCTGCTGTGTCCTGGACTTCCTTCACTATTGATTGCTTCTACTACTGCCACCTGCTGTGTCAATCTTCCTTCTCTTTGCTCTCAGCTACCCTCTCCTCAGCCTCCTTGTCCCCATCTCTGAGCACAGGGAGTCATTGGCTAAGAAGGGAGAGAAGAGAAGAGACACTGATAAATCCGCTAGCAGCAGCATCAGGTGAGCCACTCCCTTGACTCAGATTACGCGAATATGGATGTGAAATGGACGTGGGTATGAGAATAGGAACAGAGACAACAGCAGCAGCAGCAACCTTGACCAACAAGAAGAGTAGAGGAGAGCATAGGGTGCAGCTGAAAAATCTTTAGGCTGTATGAAGGCAGGGAGAGCAATTGCTGGGTTTGTTTTGGGCTGCTATGTTCTGGAGGTATGGAAGGATTTGTTATGGAGCCTGTGTAAAATTCATTACATTGCATATTGCAGAACCTCCTATGAAAAATGTACCACAACAATCTGAGGTACTTATGTATCATCCCTCCCAGATTGTCACAGGGTGGTCTCTCCATTGCCACTAAACCAAAGTTTTCCCATTTCCACAGTATAAGCAGGTCAACAAAGGCTCCTCTCAAGTTGAGTCCAGCCATTTTCCCACGTGCCTAGCCATACCTTTCCTCTTCCACCTCTTATACCCAATAAGCTAGGCCCTGTAGTGAATGAGTCTATTTCGGGCCTTATACTGCCACTTATTGCCATAGTGTCTGTCCCAGTGGCATCTGATCCCCAGTCTGAGTCATACTTCTGTAAAGCCAACAGGAAAACAAGTTAGTGGGCCACAGTTCTTGCTGGTTACACTCCTCCTATACTTCTCAGGGCCCTGATAGGCAGTGTATCCCATCACACTCAGAAGATACTAAGTGGTGGCACAAGTCATTAAATGTAAGGAAATTAAAATTGAAGGTGAAGTGCAAATCAAAAATGACTGTTGAGTTAAGCCCAGAATTCTTTGAAGGCTTAACCAAACTGGGATAGTGGGGCCATTTTACAAAGAAAAAAGCTTTAACTAATATTTCATAATTCCTTTTTTTCCCTTAAGGGCTTGTCTATACACAGTGATTGTGCCACTTTAACTACATCAGGTTGAAATCAGTATAGTTAAAGTGGTACAACTCCCTAGTGTAGACACAATTATACTAGTATAAAGGTGTTTATACTGACATATCTTATTCCCTTAAATTTAGGGAAATAATCTATGCCATTTTAAAGAACCTTTATATGGGTATAACTGCATTCACACTTGGGAGTGTGTGTACCAATTTATCTGTTTTTCAGTAAAAAGTCACACCCTAACCCAAATAGTTAAACCAGTACAAAATCTAGGTTTGCTGTGAAAGAAGGCACAGCATTTTGAAATAACTTCAACTCAGCATAAATCTGGCCAGTCTTTTGAAAACATCTGGAGGTATTTGTGCGCTTAACCTGGTACAGGTATTACCATTGGCCTTGAGCCTCAACACTTGCTCAGATGGTTAACTTTAAACATGTGAATCATTCCCCTGACTTCAAATGGGCCATAATTGCACCCATGCTAACATTTCATCATTTAATTCACATAGTCACTTCCATACTATTAACCTGATACCTATCCTCACACATGTCACAATCCTGCGATGGATTTGGGGTGGTGGAGGGGAGATTGTTTTATTATTAATTAATATTATTATCAAGCCATATATTTTATTTTTGAATACATTAAACTATTGGTGAGAGCACTTTTCCTGAGTTAAGCTGTATGTGTTAAATCATTCTTGACAGTGGCCTTTTAACTATAATCTATTCTAAGGGCTAAATTGAGCCTCCTTGATGAAAGCAGATTTGTGCCTGAAGGCCATAGGATCTGCACTGACCAAGGAAGCCTGATTCTCCTCTACATACACCTGAGTAACTTCACTTGATTTATCCCAGTATGTGCGAGAGGAAAATTAAATGTTTCATCTTAGCCACTCCAGCCTTTGGACTCCTTATTTTGTTTCTTTTTTCTCATATACTTGGCTATTATCAACACTCTATCAATGAATAAGAATTTACACAGAAATCTACTGTAATGAACCATTTTTAAGGGAGGTGGGGGTTTTGCACTATGTTTGGAATTTCTGGAAGGCCTCACTCAGCACTCACAACTGGGGCCAGATTTGCAAGAGTCCAGCATATTGGGTGGATGTTGGGTGCTGAACCCTTGAAAATCTAGCCATAAATGTCATAATGACAGAGGGTGGGTGGGGTGGTGAGTGGTCTGGAAATCTGCCCCATATTTAGGTTTTTGAGTGGCAGCTAAACTCTTGACAATTTGGCTCTGATTGTGGGTGTGTAGCACTTTACTCCTGGGGAATTCTGCACCACTGCATGTGCACAGAATTCATGTCCCCCGCAGATTTCTTCACTTCCCTCACAGAAAAATGACTTTCTGACAGGGAAGCAAAGGGAAGCTGCAAGAGCAGTTATGCACCACTCCCTAGCTATGCAGGTACATTGTTTAAGGCACCCAGAGCAGCCATCGGAGAGGTAAATCACCACAGGGCTTGGGACACCCCAGGTAGTGGCTCCTACCCTGAGCTGGGATCAGCTGCTAGTTCTGGCTGGGCTGGAGACGGCGGAGGATGGGATTTCCTCTTCCCCTGCAAGGAGTGGTTTGGGCTGTGTCAGACCCACCCCCAGAAACCTCCCCCAGCTGCAGGAAGCTCAGCATCATCCCCTGCTTCCTGCCCCCATCGCTCCTCAGCTACAGGGGGAGGTGTCACTGTATGGGGAGCTGCTCCCCCATCCACCCAACCCCCATGCAACTGAACCTCCCATACCCAGACACCCCACCAAGCCTCTCCCCGTACACCCAGACCCCCCCCCAGCCTTTCATACTCAAACCCCACCCCACTGAACCTCAACTCCTGCCTCTGGACCCCCAACCCTGCACCCAGACTACCTCCCACTAAACTCCCTGCACTCAAACCCCCATCCTGATGAGCCCCACTCCCCAGCACCACCCTGAGCCCCCACATCCAGGCCCTCATGCCACTGACCCCCAACTAGCTGCACCCAGACCCCCAGCCCACCAAGTCCCACTTTCCCAGCACCCAGACCCCCCTGCTGAGACCCCCACACCCAGACCTCTCTGCTGAGCCCCAACCATTTTCACCTGGAAGCCCCTGCAGAGTCCCATTGCCCCTGCGAGCCTCTTTGCATGCAGATCCACCCCACACTTAGACCCCCCCACTGAGCTGCCTGCACCCAGATTGTTCCACACAGAATCCTCTCACCCCAC